GCATGAAGCGTGTGGCAGTGAAGTTCGTTTCAAAATTACTGAACTTTGACCAAAATAACCTCGCATTAACATCGCTCAGAAATTGTTGAATGTCGTCCAATCTCCCCAATGGAACAGCCCGGGGGAGACAAAACCAGAAAAAACACGCAAAGTTAGATTGAATGTGAAGGTTTTGCGCACTGTTTTATCCGATTTCTGTGGCATAGTGCATCGATAGTTCTTGCCATATGTTTGTACGGTCAATTCCAGTATTGTGGAAACATGGCTTTTGCATCATGATAATGCAACTGCTCACTCGTCATTGCTTGTTATCAATTTTTTGGCCAAAAACAAAACCGTAATCAATTTCCAGCCACCGTATTCACCAGATTTGGCCTCTTGCGACTTTTTCCTGTTCCCAAAATTGAAGATATCCATGGAAAGACGGCGTTTTGCGACGATTGTAACATTATTATATCCGGTTCGGAGACATTTATCTTCTTGGAGAAAACTGATGCCTGGGTTTTTGCGGCATTGAAATTGAACCTGATTACTTTCACCCCAATTCGAAATTACTTCTAGATCCTCCTTAAGATATGCAACCTCCTGCTGCCGGTGAAGATGTGCCTCCATAGCCGATGTCCTGGAATCCAAATGGTGTGACGAGACAAGTGTGCTGTCGTCAGCAAAGCAATATATTTCATTCTTGGTTTTTTCATATCATTAATATACAATAAAAAGAGGGTTGGAGACAATATGGTTTAGATTAGATCATTATGGGGCTTCTGTGCTGAACAGCCACTACACTGCGACCTTTGCAGGTCTATTGTGTGTGCCCTTATGTATGCTAGAATTCCTTGTCTAGGCCCGTCCTTGTAACTAGACTCCATAGGCCAGACCTCAAGTTCCCCATATATTGGGAGGGTTGTGGTTTTTCCTCTCCTAATGTTGCAAACCTTATCCTTGACAGACCTTCGCAATAGCATAGTATGTGTACGGAGGTTCCCTCATCCTCTTGGCAAAGCCTGCATAGGGCTATGTCTGCCAGTCCGATGTTGTTCATGTGTTTGTTGAGTCTACAGTGTCCCGTCAATAGCCCGACCAGAACTCTAGTTGGTCGCCTATTCAGACTTCAGTAGGTACTTCGTGAATTTTGGCGATGGCTCTTCAATGAACTCTTTGGCCTGTCTCATACCCGGCGCCTTATTCCACCATTTTTGAGATTGTTTTTCCTTCCAGTTGCTGTTACAAGTTTTTCGCAGCGCTTTTGCTATACCACAAAAGGGTTCTGGGCCAATGGGGGAGCATCGTGCTCCTTCTCGTGCTAGTGAATCAGCCTCTTCGTTGCCCTTGTATCCTGTGTGCCCTGGTACCCAGGCTAATGAAAGTCTGTTTTGACTACCTAGTTCTTGTAGTTTTTCTAGGCTGTTCCAGACCAAATTAGAATTGACCTGCATGGAGCTAATTGCTTTTATAGCTGCTTGGCTATCAGAGTATATTGCAATAGTATTTTTCTCAAACTCTTGCCTTAGTAACTCTTCTGCGCAGTGACGTATTGCTGCCGTTTCTGCCTGGAATATCGTCACTTTTTAACCTAAGCTTAGTGAGACTTATGTCTTTGATTTAGTTATATAGACCCCTGGGGAACGTTTTTTCAGGAAGCTGAATAGCCATACACAAAAATAATCCGAAAAGCCATAGCATCGGAGTTTGGACAGCAAACCCTCATGCCACATACCGTTGCCACTTCTCACGTGAACAAACAACGTAGGTGTCTTTACTTTTACTCTGTTGGTAACTTTTTTTGAAAAACTAAAATTTTGACTATTTAACTTCAGGGACTTTATTTCCGATCGCGACAGAGGACGGTGCCGATAACGACCGTCCTTAAAGATGGCAGGTGAATGTCGTGATCGAAGTGGAGTCCAAAAGTGTGGGGTTTTTCTTGAATTCAGTCAAATTCGAATAAATATTGTGATGGAAGATATTTTGAGAGGGTTGGCGACTCCTACTCCAGTAACCAGGCTGAATGTCGACGGATTCGATGAGGTCATCAGGGCGATAATAGATGTTATTTGTAAAAGTCATTTCGAGAGGATTGACCGTAAAAAAATTAGAACTTTTAATGAAAGAAAAACTGAATGAGGAAACTTAGAGGGCCAGTATTGCTTCGAGCATAATAACTGCGCCCCCGGACGGAGCTTTTGTTCACTATGGTCAGGAGGAGTCTGGCCACATGCGCCTCGACTGAGAAGCAACGGCCACATAAATTAAATAAGAAGAAGAAGCTACCTTCAGGGTGTTGATCTTTCGGGACGACATGCGCGTACATTGTTTTACTCTTATTATTTTTCGCTAACGCGCCAAAAAAAGTAAAACAAATATATACAGGGTGATTCAAAAGTACTTTGACAAACTTTAGGAGGTGATTCCTCACAATATTCTAATATGAGTTGTCTAAATAAATAAATGCCCGGAAACGCTTTGATTCCAAAATACAGGATGTTGAAGTTTTATTTTTATTTTTATTTTTTCAAATAACTTTTGAAATACTGAACTCAAAATAACGAAACAAAAAACTCATAATAATAGGAGGTTTTTGAGGTGTCGAATTCGAACCTGATGTTACTTGTAGGGGGCGCCACCTACACGTCTTTTTCTTTCATAAAGATTCATAACTTTTTTGGGCGTACTTCTAGCACATTTTTCAGTAAAAAAATCGATTCCTCTATCATATCTACGTAAATAAGCTACCCTTGTTACTAGTCGCTGTAAGCAACCGTTTTCTAAATATTTGGACTTGAAAACTTCAAGTCGATTATTTGATAATCGATGCATGTTAAAGTTATTACGAATATTTTGCATTTTTCACAAGAATGCTTTGGAAATGAATTTGACGTTTTACTCGTTTGAAGAGGTCATTACTGTTGGGTACGTTCCTTCATGACATCCTTAAGCGAAATAGTTATTTTTGTATCAAGGGTGCCATAATCAGTATTTGTTTTGAAAAAATTTGCAACAAATGTCAACATTTTATTTCAGGAAATTTTTAATATGTAGAACAAACTAAAATAAACGAAACCAAATTGTATTCAAATAAATTGTTGGAAGTTTCCACCTTCAGCAAAGATACAGGCAGTCAGTCGTCTAGTCATTGAATCTCGTAAGTACCCGCTCAAAAATTATTGGTGTGTTTCTTATTGTTTCACAGGCGTCTACTATTCGGTTTCTTAGATCTTCCTCGTTCACTACTGAAGTCTTAAAAACTAGTGACTTCAAATGTCCCCAAAAATAATAATCTATCGGAGTTAGATCTGTGGACCTTGGTGCCCACGCCTGGTTAGGTTCTTCTACACCCCTAATCTTGGAAACGAAGCGTTTCCGGACATTTATTTATTTGGACAATTCATATTAGAATATTGTGAGGAATCACCTCCTGAAGTTTGTCAAAGTACTTTTGAATCACCATGTATATGTATGAAAGCTTGGCGTATCAAAGTTTGAGTTCTTCAGTGAAATGATATTTTAAAGATCCAGTTTGTTAATTAACAGAAAATTTTCACTGGTTTTCTTTTGAACAGGACAGGGACAAGAAATTATGGATGACTGACCATTGCCCATAGTCACAACCATTTGAATGTAGTGAATAGAAACCATTTCACGAGCACTTTGAAAATGCCCTATGATATATATGAGAAAGAAAGGAAAATGGTATTGAAGGAATATGAACGAGTGAAAGTTGAAACAATTTTTTTTTAATCTGAAAGAAAATTAAAATACGACTGCAATGACTAAAATATTGAATACCACAGTGTCACTTCCGGTTATATCGGAGAACTCTGAATCAATAGTCTGGCATCACACGCCCAATCTTCGTAAGTTTAATACATGATAAAGTGGAAATTGGAGTCTCAATTCGAATTCAGCAGGAAATTTAATCCTCGAAAACAATTACACACTTAGATATTAACAGAGGTTCCACCAATTTCGTGTAATAGAATTTTAAGCTGCTTTGTAGAGAAAATGACGATAACTGCTGTATAGCGTCTGGGACAAATTTAATACTTCTCTGAGTATGATGAGGGGAGATTGGTGATATACGTTATTATTGTTCTCTTGACGCTTCATTTTAGAGATACGTTTAATTTCAACAAATTTGATATAACTCCAACCGAGAATTTGGAGAGTACGGTAAGAAACATGAATAGTTATCACCTACAAGTGAGGAAATGAAAAGTTGACCACTTTTTCCAGAAATGATATTCTGATTTGATTGTAGAAGATGTATATATTGTTACGTAAAACGTGATCAAATAGGTGGCAAGTTCATTAATGAACAGTTCCATTCAATTGTATGAAAATACTTTCTGTAATATCAGTACTTCACTTCTGTAACAATCAATTGTAACAATTGTTTAACCCTGCGTAGTTCTATCGAACTACTGTCGTATTAATGAAAACAAAAACAAATATGAGGTACTTTTATTGAATTAGAAAAAGTCAACATAAATTAATAAATTCTTATATAAACATAAAAGCAAACCTTAACCTTATAATAAAATAAAAACATGATTTAAGGTAGAACACCATATACGTTTAACATAACATGTGANGGCGGACCCAATTACTCCAGGTATTTTTGTAAGGATGTTATGCGGCATTCTTTTTTTGACTTTCGTGGGTACGTGTTTTCCCCATTTTGTATTGTCTTTCCCTAAATAGTATGCTGCATAGCAGTCTTCATTGAACTCAACTTCACTACCACTTTCAATGTCCGAATGAAGAATTTCAGTTTCAATTATATCATCTTCATCACAATCACTTTCGTCCACAATTTCATTGTTTATGAGAGATCGAGCGCGACCTACGCAGGGTTTACTGACTCACTTTCAACCATTTTCTACTTCTGATAAACTTTTAGTATAATTTGTCTCATTCACGTTTTTTTCAGAATCATCCTGAACCTAAATATATCATAATCCTTTTAAACTAGACAGTAAATGTTCAGTATCACAAAAATTCATATGACTGAGTTTCTGACTGAATTTTCTTATTCCTTTGAAAGACCCATTGATGCCATTATTTGTGTAATATAACATCGTTGAAATGACATCCACGACTTCTCTGAGTGGTGCTCTTTCAGTAAGCCCAATTTTCCATGATTCTGGCACATGAATCAGACTGAATACTGGGTTCTGTCTCTGTATTTGTAGAGTAGGGAGGGTGAGTGTAAGCCATAGCACTTAGGCCAATGTGACCCATTGTACATTCTCCCGAGGAGTTGTCCTCCTAGGTCATTGTCCATCCTGTCCTTTCCAGGAAGGTGGACAGGTCGCTGAGAGACATCTCCTTTATATCGGCAGGTGTAGGCCAAGACTCGCCGAACACACACTCTCTTATTGACGATAACGCAGGACACTCGCATAGGACATTCCTGACAGTTTCATCTTCCTGTTCATACATCCTGCATAGATGTATGTCCATTAATTATGTCTTGAAGGCCAATGAAGAAATCAAAATATCTGAGAAATGGTTCTCTTCAAATGGATTAGTTTTGAACATGGAGAAGACAACGTTCATAATATTCAGTCACTCAAATAATAAACTCGACCACAGCTTGTTGCTGAAATCTACCAGCAGATTTATCACTCAAGAACCTTCTACGAAGTTCCTTGGGCTGTAAGTGAATGAACGCTGTACATGGACTACCCATATAAATGAAGTGTGCAAAAAACTAGCTCAAAAGTGTACCAACTCAGAAAGACCGTCGAAAAATCAGTAATGATGATACTATATTCTGCACACTTTCAGTCAGTAATGATATATGGAATCATAGTATGGGGAGTATCACAGGAGGCTGATAGGGTACTCAAACTCCAGAAGGAGCAGTTAGAAATATCGTTGGAAGTAACCAGGAGAGTAAGCTGTAAGAATATATTTGTACAGATGAAAATCCTGACATTCCATTCTTTGTATGTCACGCATATACTGATATATGCCAAAACAGAGTTGGCCTCATTCAAAGCACTGGGAAACAGTGGATATCCCAAAGAAATGCAGCAATCCTGAAAGTGCCGAATCACCGTCTCCAAAAAACAGAACGGTGCCCAAAATACATGGCAATAACTTTGTTTAATCATCCACCAAACTGCTACAAAGATCTTCCTTTGACTAAATTTAAAATAGTAGTCAAAAATATATGATTAAAAAAAGCTTACTACTCTATAAGTGAGTATTTGGGAAACACAGATTTTAACTAATTTTATATTTTAAGTATGCATGCGTATTTTCATATTTTATATTTTATCAAACCACTTGTTTTTATTGCTTTTAGATGTTTTTACATTTAAAGGTACGCCACTACAATTTCGATATCCTCATTGTTTACGAGTGGCTTTTTTTGTTGATGACAGACGAAAAAGATCCGAAATCACGGCAGTTTTTCAGAATATTTTTATTTGATCTGTGTAGATTTGGATATCTTTCTGTAAAAACACGACAAGTTCTATCCATTATCTTATTACATATCTTATTACATATTACATTATCTTTATTACATGAATGATTATTA